ATAATTGGAGCACGAAGAAACGTAGAGGAATGGACCTATATACGAATGGTGGGAATATTCATTTAGAAAATTACAGAAGGTTTACCAGTCTTACCATGTATAACATGCACATCTTTTATTTGGCACCATTGATGTTCTCAAAAGAGCAGCCACTCTTTAATTTCAGGTCTGCATGCTGGAAACACTAAAATTAAGGGCCAACCTCATTGAGTCGTCTTGTTTGATCTTTGCCAATTATTTTCTTCCATGCATGATTATTGTTTCCTTCCATGCATGTGACCTCAGCTGATCGATTTGTTTCTTTCAAAGCAGGCGGGGATCGCAGGGATGACAGTTTCTTTTTCTATCGCGCGGGGTATCGCATGGCCGGAAGGGGGGAGTCTTGCTTGATCTTTGTCAATTGTTTCCTTCCATGCATGATTATTGTTTTCTTCCATACATATGGCATTAGGTGATCGATTTGTTTCCTTCAAAGCAGGCGGGGATCGTAGGGATGACAGTTTCTTTTTCTATCGCGTAGGGTATCGCATGGCTGAAAGGTAGGAGCGACAAAAAAAAAAGTCAAAAAAAAATAATCTTACTTTTAGTGTTTTTAGTCGTCGGAGAGTAGGAGATTAGCCGTCCTTCTTGGAAGATAAAAGAAGAATAAAAAACTAGCTGGCTTGCTCCCTCCGTTCAGGGAAAAAAAAACGTCACGGCGCAAAATGGTAAAAAATATAATACTCTTCGGCGCCCGGCGCACATAAAAAATAGAGCCGTTTGTTACCTTTGTTCCATTCAAAACTTCACAGAGCCAAGTCCGACTCAGCACTGTACCACCAGAGTACAGATCTGCCAAGCACCACAACCAAATCTTTGCAAGCCGTCCAAAGCCGCCGGCCTGACGCCGCCGCCATGGGGAAGCTCGGAGCCAAGTCCGACTACGAGAGTCTCCGCAACGCCCGCATCTCCGAGAACATGGTAAGGCGCAGGCACCCTACCCGAATTCGATCTCCACCGGATGAGGAATTTCTTGCGTCATCTCCGATTCTTGTTTCGTGGCGTGTGTGCAGGCCAGGATGGAGATGCTCGGCCTTCTCCGCTGCGCGGGAGAGCTCAGCGACATCGCCTCCGCCTCCAGCCACCGCGCGGCCGGGAGCGCGACGCCTCGGAGGACCCCCAGGCCACGGGTGACGAGCATGACCCCGCTCCGCCGCTCCGGCCGCCTCCTCGCCGCGACGCGCCGCTGTTCCGCCCGGCTGAATGGGCAGGGCACAGGTTGAAGCATCGAATGCCCTCTTCCGTGGATCGACTCGTGTTGTTTGTGACGGGAAACAGCTCAAGTAAGTTCCTTTTATTTTCTGGCAGGAGCTCTGAGTAAATTGACGGCGGCGGGATCGGAGGAGGAGGATGATACATGGGAAGATGGTAAGGAGGGGAAGTGGGCGACGGCGGTGGCCAAGGAGAGAGTACAGGCGCTGCAGGAGAGGCGGTGCGACAGCAGGGGGAGGGGAGGCGTGTACGACCCTGTTCTTGGGATCTGCTGCCATTTCTGCAGGTACTCATCATTACAAACATGAATCACCGATTGGTGCTCCCGGTTGCGTTCCTGAGAAAGATCGCACGGGATTAGTGTGCAAGTAGCTGACAAAAATCGTTCTCTATGATCAAAGGCAGAAGAAATTGTGCGGTGAGGAGGACTGCAAGCGCTGCGGGGAAGGAGACCTGAAGCAACCATGTTTAGGTAAAAAGAATCCGTAAAGGATTATCCTCTTTTCCCCTAATTTCCGCATCTAGTATGATCATGTCAACACTCAATACTTTGGCAAATATTTGACAGGAAAGACAGAGTGCTCATCTTGCCATTCTTCTAATGGGATACTCTGCCGTGCTTGCCTGAAAATTAGGTACGGCGAAGGTAAGCGGACTTGCTTAGTTGCTCAACGCTGAAATGGCTTTGTTCTTGGTGGATTTTATCGGCCTACTTACTAAACTTTGAGATGTGGTAGCAGAGATGGAAGAGGTGAAGAAGAACAAGAACTGGTTGTGCCCTCACTGCGTTGAGGAGAAGGGTATCAAGAAATTCTGGATATGCAACAGGTGAGCGTTTCACCAACCTTGCTCTATTTAGTTCTACAATCAGAGGTCTGAAATGGTGCTGTCAGGATACGTAGTGTTTTAAAAATTCAGTTTCCCACCACTCACTCGGTAACCTTTGGTCATACGACGATGCAGCTCCTTCTGCTTGAAGAAGAGGAAGATACCACCGACTGGGATTGCCATATATAATGGTAATTCTGATTCTACTCCTGTTCACATATGTGAAATATGCTGTTCTTGCTGTCACTGATAAACATATCTGCCTCTTTTTTCACTTTCTTTGCCATTGCAACAGCAAGGGAGCAAGGATACGATTCAGTTGCGCACCTTCTCATGGACAGGCTGAAGCGACAAGCTTTCTGATGACGACTGGCTCTGGCACGTGCACTTCTACAGCGATGATGATGATGATGAATTGATGATATAGAGATGTAGTGAGTCTCGTCTGACGAAGTCTGGTTTTGGCATGTTCACTTCTGCAGTGATGGTGGTAGAGATTGTAGTGAGTCCGTTTTCTGGCAGTTCAGCTATTAATGTTTCTGTTGAAATGAGTCCCACTTTTGTGCCCAAGAATGTGAAGCTAGGAGAACAGTCTCAGTGGCCTTCTGAGTGGCAGCTTGTCTGTTTATTGTAACCGGATTTTGTTGAGGGTCAGAGCAAGGATTAATGAGAATTACCATTTTTACTGTATCTGTGATAGAACTAGCTATCTGGTATCAGTATAAAATTCAACTGGTCTTGAATCTATGGACAAATGGAATCAGCTATCTGTCTTCAAACTTATATATACTACCAGTATATTTGTTATTGAGGCAGTGTAGTGTGGAGTCACCAAAATGACTCCAGATAGCTAGCCTATGGTTAGCTAGAACGTTTTGTATTATTATTTCAGCAAATGACCACAGATGGATTTTTCTGAGCGTAAGGAATCACACAAAATTACCCATATTCTCAACTATATTTACATTAATTTCCTTTATCTAAAAAAATTAGCCAAATAAAGCTGCTTGTGTAGGACTTGCATATTGAAATATCAGTAAATACAGGGCCAAAACTCATTCCTCCTTGCTGTGCAAAGCTCTAGCTACTTGCTGTGCAAAGCTCTAGCTACTTGCTTAGTCTTTAGTTTTAGTTGGGCCAAACAAGCTCTAGTTCCTTTAGTTTACCAAGTTGGACCGGGCCTGACTATAGGCTACAGCCTACAGCGCTTAGTTGGGCAACTTGAATTAAAAAAAAAAAGTTGGGCAACTTGAATCCGGCCGGAGGCCGACGCGGTTTGGACATCCCCACCTGCCGGATGCACCGCCGCCTTGCCCTTGCCACCGCGGCCGCAGCGCCCGCGCTCCGGCGGTTCTCGCACCACAGCGCGCCTCCCCGGCCTGACCTAAGGCTCGCCTTCCTCCGCTCCGAGGTCGACGATCTCGAGCTCTCCCCCTCTCATAAACCATCGCCACGGCCTCCCCATAGAGAGCAATGCCAGGTTTTAGAAGAGCTAAGAAGCGGCCTTGCTCTTGCTGGAAACGCTCCGGCAGCTGTGGATATAGCGCACCCGTGGCCGGAGTGGGTTGCTCTGATGGAGCACCTCCTCCGTCGGGGCCACGTTGACCCCTCCACCTTCGCCGCCGCCTCGCTGTCTTCTAAGGACGCCAACGCTGTCCGCACCGCCTGCCTCCAATTCGGGCGCCAGCGGCCGGAGCTCATCAGGTGAGGTGGCCGTGCTCGGACTAGTGGTTTTGGGGTTGGGTTCTTGGCCTGGGTTGGTGTGCGCGTTGAGGCCATTATCTCTGCTGGGGCTATGATTTTAGCTGCAAGCTAGGTGTTTGTTGAAATGTGCTAGCCATTCGCGGTGCCTTTTTTCTTCCAGGCACCCCAGCTGTGCATGTAAAAGTGGTTGCATGTTTACCATGAAGGGAACAAACTTTGGCGGTTGTTGCAACATCTTGGCTAATTATACGTGCCCTGACACCGTGCCAAATTGATGTGTCACACTTCAATAGCAACTCGTGGAGCAAAGCTTGCCTAATAGTACCATTTCTGGGGATGGTAACAAGTGCAAAGTACGTTATGGGTTTCCTCAAGTTATATCACTGTACCCTACAGAAACTCTTAGATGTGTGCGATTACAAGGCATTGTTTCAGCATGTAGAGTAGTACTGCTATCTTTTGTTTCATGAGTCCCAACTTTTAACTAAAGGACTTAATGGATGCTGGAAGCTAAAGTTGAAAGTCTATTGTTGCAGGCATATATCAAGATGGGATATTCAGGTTGCCATGCGATGTGGTTGTCCCAGCATTGACAGGAAGGTTGTAAACTCTGGGAAACGATCATGGCCTATGTAGGACTTGATGAAGGAGAGGTAACTACATGGAAATATGCATTGAAGATTTCTCTGGATGCACTGAATTTTATATTCTTTTAATTACCACAAACTTTAAATATTCTGAATGTAAACTCAAGGTTTTGTTTAGGATCTACGCATCAACACTGAATTATAGACACAAAAAGAATAGTAGACCAGGCTTATGCCCAAGCAAAAGCTTTGTTAGGCTTGTGTATGGTAATACAATTGTGTGTGACCTTAATATGTTTGCTTTTTAAATCTCATGTTTGAACTCTTTGAATACAAACATGTGGTGTGAAGGAATAGAACTGTTCACCTATTTGACCTCATCAACAACCTTTCTTTCACTAAATCCACTTCACACTAGTGAACTGGCTAGTAGAAAATATGTGCAATATGGATTTTCCTTTTTCCTTTCTCAGGAACTAGAAAATATTTGCTTACTGTGCAGTATAATTTCCCAAACCTGTTGGATCCTCGATCCTTATATCGTAAATACATTAATTTCGTTTACGCTTGAAAGTTTGGTTGCTCTAAATCTAGGACATTAATTTATGTAGTATCAACTTATGCTAACAGGTTTGCAGCCAATGCAATTTAAGAGGAAGTTGTGATAGGGCATATGTAAAGGCTCAGAAAGAGGAAGTTGGAAGGACTGTGGATGTTATGCGCATCCTTTTGACTTATGGTCTTGATGTTATTACCGGCAATGTAGAGAATAGAGCATGCCTGAACAAAAATGTCAGGGAATCAATAAAAATCCTACTAAATGAGGTTATCGAGGTTGATTCTAGGGGACCTGGTTCCAGCACTGTGAAAGCTGCACAGCGCAAAGGTCAATCTGCTGTACCCATGAAGCAGGGTGATTGGAATTGTCCCAAGTATGTTAGAAAAGTTAATATGCGTGTCTACACATATCCTCCTGGTCATAATGCTTTGCATTTATTGTCAGATGTGACTTTCTGAATTTTGCAAAGAATATCAAATGTTTGCGCTGCGATGGAGAATTCCAAGAGAGGTATCGGTTGCTGCATGAAGACCAAGAGCATCTACCTCTCAAAAAGGGTGACTGGATATGCAAAAGGTGAGCCTGCTTATAGTTCTAGTTTATGAGAAATATTTACTGCAAGTTCTGTTTTTTTTTCTTTCTCTTATACTGACCTTAAAGTTTCAGGTGCAACTTTTTGAATTTTTCTAAGAACACAAGATGCTTGCAATGCCATGAGAAACCAACAAACCGTTTACTCAACCCAGGAGAATGGGAATGTGTGTCGTGAGTGCCTATTTCTACTACACTATTATATATCTGCTTATTTGTTGAATATTTGAACTGTTCTGATGTCTACTGCCAATACAATCTTATAGTTGAAGATGGTGTTAGCCTTGTGTGACTATCCTTTCACTGCTATGATTTTTATTTCTAGAATTCTAGTACATTTCAGAAAATGGAAGATAACTATGTTTATGTGTTATGTTCAACTACAGGTGTAACTATGTGAACTTCAAGAGGAATGGATTCTGCTTGAAATGTGGTTGGAAAAGACCAAAGTCTCTAAACAATCAAGATAGTATTGAATCACGTCATGATTTAGAGCATAGTAAGAAACCTAGTATTTCATTTGTTCAAGATGGCGTCCAGCTGAAGAGGTGGCCAAGTCCGCAAAAGAATGCTTCACCATCTGACGAAGATTCAGATTTCTGGGCGCAGAGCGATGAAGGAGGTGATAGCAGGGATAATGATGCACTCCTGCAACAGAAGGACTACAGATTCCTTGAGAGTTTTCCCATTGTTGGGGGCAGGACTGCTAATTCCCAAGATCGTCTTGCAAGGGAGAAGTGGAAGGATGAAATGTCCAGGAGAAATAAAGGCCATCAAACTACGGAATCACGAGAAAGCAATCGGCCTTCTAGCCCCGGCCGTCTTCCAAGAAGCATGGAGCTGGTTGAGTCTGATGATGATATCGCTTCTTGGTTTTCGGGTAGGAACTTGGACAAGGCATAACCAGATCTTGTAAGCCGGTGCAACTCGTGAATTCCGTCAATAAAATTTGCATCTCTTGGAATTATTGAAATCCAGCAAAGAAAAAAAAATATTAAAGCTCACTGGAGAACTGTACCATTTAATGTTTCGGAATTCTGTTATGGGCTGCTCAGCAGCTCAGGGATGACATGCTATGATTTTTGCAAGGGGCTTGTATACCTGTTCTCATGCAATTAAGTTTTGGGGACCAAGCTAGTAACAAGTGTCATGTGCCTACGTGCGAGCGTTTGGTTCGGCTCCGCGCTTGTCTAACTAGATCCAAAATTGCTTAAACTAGAAGCGAAATGTAGCAATATAACAGAGGAGGCCAATGCATCCTTCGCATCATGAGTATCGACGAAGTCATCTTTCACTATTACTGACAAGATCAGACCAACGACTTATTCCTCACGATAACGTCCTTCTTAGGGCTTCTCCCAACGCTCCGGCTTGGGCATGGCGTTAGGTAGGGTTGCAATAATATGAGTGTGCTTTGGTTCCTTTGACTTCCCCCTGTCTAAGCTCAATGGAGCGAACTTGGGCCCGTTTAGTTGCCTAAACAGGCCTTCGGAGCACACCCAACAATGTACCAACCACACTGAAGCCAGACCAGATGCAAACGGAGGGGGGATCCCCATAACCAGGCTTTCGCTCGTGCTCGTCTCACCTCCTGGTGTTCCTCTCCGTCGAAGTCGGAGGTCCTGTAGCAGCCCCTGGTCCGGACGCCCTAGCGCTCACCCATCTTCGACCTAGGCCTGCACACGTGCCACAACTTCGTCATCTCTGCCTGCCTCTTCCGCATGCTTGTCTTCATCACCCTCGGATTCTTCAACCTCCACACAGTGAACTCCCGGAGCGGTGATTGAGTTAAAAACTCACCTTCAAAAGAACATGGTGGCTGTATCTGAGCTAACCAGTCAACCAAACAGGATCTACACAAGCTAGGCTTATTTAGGATAAGCAAACCAAACAACAACCTCTTTCATTGCAGGAGCCAAGTTTTAGCTAGCTAGCTAGGCTAGGTTTAAGACGAGAACCAACATACCCTAAACACAAAGCCCAGATATGGGTGGGTGGATGTTGCACTCAAAGGACGAAGTTAATACGCGACCAGTCGCACAACAGCGTGTGGGGGAGGGGGCGGGGGCGGGGAATCTCCTAACTTGACAATTCAGATTCATAGCTAAGAGCCTCTTTAGCATGTCTCTAACTTCTTGTGTGACTCTTGTTTATGGAACCGTATTTAATGTCCACATTATAATATTGCTACTAGAGCTGTTTTTATTGAATGTTTTTCAAAATGATTTTAGCTCTACTAGAGGAGCGAAGCTGTTTTAGAAGGAAGTCAGGCCCACGACAAACGGTCTCTAAAGTGTTAATTATTTTAGGGCAGGAGAAGTATGTATTTTATTTTTATTTTTTTCAATAAGTGGGAGCTAAAGCTAAACAACTCCATTTATTCTAACCCTCTTTCTGCTGCATCCGGTATCCCTTCCCCTGTCTCTGCAGCAGAGCAGTTCCTTTCTTGCTGTCTTCTCTACTCAGTCCCCACTCCCCAGTCGCCACTCGGACCTCGGCGTCCCACCGAAGACGACCTCACGCGGGGGCGGGGCTTGGTATATTCCTTCTCCTCCCTGCTCGGTTTAGCACGGCCGCTTCCATCACGCATCCTCCCCTCCTCCCGTCTCAAGAGATCGCAGGGGGCAGCGTCGAAGCTGGAGGAAGCGGACGGGTTCGCCATGGGGTCCGAGGGATCCTCGGGTCCGGTTATCGGTGAGTAGCAGTCTCTGTCCGTCATTTCTCCCGAGGTGCCTAGTTGCATATGGTGTGTTTGTGTGTTCGTCGGTCTGCGAATTCGAGTGGAGAGTCGGGATCTCTGTGGCCAACAAGGCATGGTTGTTTGGATTCCCGATCGGATATGGGCGCCCTAAGGGAGGAGCCGAGGAGAGAGCTTTGTGGGAGTGGGCTCAGGGTCACCTGGGGCTGCTTGGGGAACCCGATCCGGCATTGCCTCTGATTGGAATTGACGCCACATCAAGATTGCCGTGCGCAACTTAGGTGCAGAATTACCGTTTGTACCGCCATGTAGTCAACAACCTCTTGGGCTAAAGATAGGTCTATCCGGAACTAGGATTGCCTTCGGATGGGATTGTAGACTTGTAGTGCCGAGGTGGAATCTCGGGGTAAATTTAGCATCTCCCCGTAGCTGTTGGTGAGGCCCAATTGATCCTTCCTTCAAATATAAATGGTAGTTATGTAGGTTTTGGTCGAGACTTGGAAGCTACTTGGAAGCTTGTTCCTTAATGGATATAAGCAAAGAAGAGTTAAGTTACTCGATTATTGGCACGATTCTAGATGGATCGATTGGTTAGGGATTTGGCTGGACCACCTGAATCTGTTGCGCAGTCACACTCATCTCTTGTTGGGAATCATTGCTCTTGAAATAGTTTCGTAATCTGAGTTATTTCTGTAAAAGTTTCTGGATGGTCGAGTCATATATTGATTTGGGTACTAGTAATTAGTGTGGTAGTGAACTAGCATGTATGTACAGTGCCTGTTATCCTTATCCAGCAGGAATGCCCATTAATCCACAAGTGCAATCTGGTAATTGGAATCAAATTTCCATGTATATAGTAATCTAGTGTATAGATCCTTATGTGTAGCTACAGTAATGGTATTCAGAATTGAGTCAAGGTTAGCTATTTCTGACCACCATGCTTCAAATAACCAAAAGATAATTCTCCAAATTGTAAAGAAATGAAGCTGAAATTACTCCTAACAGTTTTTTAACATTTAAATAGGACCCATGCTTGCTCTTCTTGGCAGTGACGCCGATTCTAATATTAGTCTTTACCTACTTGTTAGTCCTATGCCTACCCTGGCCATCTTATCATTTTCCTTCATTTCATTTGACATTTTGTTAGCCATTCCTTGATGTAAATAGCATGAGTCCACAACTCACCTTGATCAACCAAATTTCCTGAAACCAGCAGTAGCATGCGCTGAGTCAATGTGTGGCCTTACTTACGTAGAAGAACCTCTATGAGATTTTGCTGAAAGATTTGCATCTGCTTGCCTAAAGTAGATAAATAGACATTCACTAGCTCTGAGCTAAAGAGCAGCTTTCCATGAGGACAAGAATAGTGAGATAACATGAATGTACTTTGGTGTAGAGTTGTTGATTTGGTATCTTCAATAGCAGTGGTGAATGTAATTCAAAATTGTTGTGCACATGCATACATGCTTGCTTGGGAGCGGTGTTCAATGGCCTAGTCCCTAGTCAATGGTATTTTTTTAATCCCAATATTGCAATTTTATAACTATACTGATTAACTGATCATCATGAAGCAGATTCCAATCAAACTTATTTTTATACTGTCCCAAAATAAGTGCACACCTCATATTTCGAGCTTGGGAGCAGTAGGGTGTTCACTGGCCCTAGTCAACAGTCTTCTTTTAAACCCAATATCACAATTCTATAACTATACTGACTAGTTCATCATCAAGCAGATTCCAATCAAACTTATTTTTATACTCCCTCCGTCCCAAAATAAGTGCACGTTATATTTCGAGGAGTCAACCAATCTCAAGTTTGACCAAATATAAATACAAAAAAAGTACTAATATTCATGATATCAAATAAGCATCATTGGATTAATCACGCCATGTATTTTCATAGTAAAACTATTTGGATATACAAATGCTGATAATATTTTATATAAATCTAATCAAACTCAAAATTAGTTGACTCCTTGAAATGCGAGATGTGCACTTATTTTGGGATGGATGGAGTACCATTTACTTCATGTTCACTTCCACCGGTACTTTTCCATGGCTCAACAACATATTCTGTAAGGTCATCACATAGTGACATGTCAGCCCGCTATAGCTGACCGGAGGTACCTGGTAGCTCATAGCCGCATACTCAAAGATGTCAACAACGTTGATTTCACTGACTACACAATTAGAGTTGGGACATGTTTAGTGTATGTGGCTTATTTGCTAAGTTTAAGGTCCTTGACTTAAAGTCCATTGCCCCCAACTTATTTACGACAGCCTATTAAGTTTTAAGTGTCAGAAAAGTTGTCAGAAGGCTGGGATAGTTCGAGTGCACTCATAATTTGATTGGGAATTACATGGTTGGTCCTTCATCTTCATTTTAGAGTAGCTGCAAATTCTAATTTCCTGTAAAAGATAAGGCTATCAGCCACCTGTTTATAATCTGACCAAACTTCTTATATTGCCCCAAATATAAAGCATGGTATTTATGCTACTGATTTGGAGGCACTTGGTTCATACAAAAGGATGCCTTGGAATTTGTGGGAAAGGAGGAAATGTTTTCTACCTTTAATGCCTCCAGAAGTCTAGATCATGTTCTTATAGTTTTTTAAACTTGCAACTATTGTCCCCTCAGCCTTCTTGCCTTAATCAGGTCATTGTTTTGATATTTTCTATGTGTATATATGGCACCATTTCTAAAAAGCATTAATCAGGTCATTATACACATAAGTAAGCTCAATATAACGCACCGATATCTCTGTTCTTTTATAGCAATGTACAGTACGATTTTCTTTTTCAAAATTCCAAGTCTCATGGGTAACCAAACTAAATTCCAGTAAACCATGAAACTTTGTTGCTCTTTTATTTTGTTCACAAGAACAATGAATTTGAACTCTGAATACCTGCTATGCATGTTGGTTGCTAATAATTTACATCATACTTTGTTTTATTATGTTTTGTGCAGTTCCCAGAAACTTTAGGCTGCTAGAAGAACTAGAACGTGGTGAGAAGGGCATTGGTGATGGTACTGTGAGCTATGGGATGGATGATGCTGATGATATATATATGCGGTCCTGGACAGGAACTATCATTGGTCCTCCCAATGTATGCTGCAGAAATACCCATAATTCGATACATAATACATTTGCTTTATTATTCTCAAACCTAAGAGGTGCATTTTTCGCAGACTGTTCACGAGGGAC